AATGATCCAGAATCTGGTGCTCTTTTTTTTTCTTTTTTTTTTGTTTTTCTAAGCTCTGATCTGTGGGTGTTCAGATCTGTTGTTGTTGTGTTGTTGATTGGTTTGATGTTTTGGAGTGGGGGAGTTTGATTTTGATTTTTGTTCATTTTGTTGGTTGAATACAATTTTGTGGTGTTTGAATACAGATCTCTTCTTCTTCTCTTCTCTTCTCTTCTCTTCTTCTTCAGGACGTCTTCTGCTTCTTCAGGACAAAAGAGAAGGAAAAAAGAAAAAGAAAAAACCCCCCCAAAACGATGGGTTTTAAATTTCGGGGGATTCGAGCCTCTAAACCATTCGAGTACGTAGCGGAGTGAGGTTTCTAATATGTTGAACTTTTATTATTTTTAATAGTTTTAATAATTAATGGCATTTACTCCATTAAACACTATTAAAAAAACGTCACCTAATTATTTAATTTTTCAACGACAGTTTATTGGAAAATGTTGCCACAAAAAATATCACTAATTTATTAATTTTCAGCAACAATATAAAATTATTAAAAAAAAAAGTCACTAATTTAAATTTTCAACCGACAATTTTAAAAAAATTTCTCACAAAAAAGTCACTAATTGTAATTGGATAAAAATGTTGACAAAAGAAGTCACTATTGTCAATTTTTTACGCGACAGTAGTGGTAAAAAATTGTCAAAAAAATTATTTTTAATGCGAGTTTACTTAAATTTAAACTTACAATAAGATTTGATGGTATTAACTCTAACTGTTAAAGGCCTATCGATTAATTTAAGACTATTAGTCAATTGAATTTGAATTTATATGTATTTACGGGAAAATGAACCAGAAATTAGATCCGATGATCCATTAGATTTTAGAGAGAAAGTCATCACTTTTTTACTGGCCATTTTCATTACTACGTTTTATTTATATATTAATTTTCATTCTTTAATTTGATCGTTTTTTTTAAAAAGTCCAAGGAAAAATAAGGTATTTTAAACTTTTTGGTTAATTAAAAAAGGTATACCAAGACTTATAGATATTTAAGATCCATAACATAGGATTGGCTTGTATTTATCCTTTTTTTATGATTGGGGTAAATGACACTCAATCTCTTTGGGTTTAGAAAAATGGCAAATAAATTTATAGATTTGGGAATAATTAATTTCTTAAAGTCTTAATTCACGTAACCTCATTTTTCATAAATAATTAGTTAGGTATTAGATGGGAAAATCAGTATATTTTCGCAAATAAGTTATAATTTTTGACTTAATTTAAGTTCTCTCAAAGTCTTAATTCACGTAATCTTTAACCTCATTTTCATAAATATTTATTAGTTGTATAGATAGGAAAATTTATATTGTCATTTTTTTCATATTTACAATGATATACTTTTTCTGTATTTATTTTTGTTGATTTTATACTATCTATATCGAATATTTAGTTAATTCATTTAACTTTATTAAAAGAAATATGAATATAATTGAGAGGGTAAATTTTTGGGAAAGAATTGGGCCGAGCTGTGAGTTGGGCCCTGCGGCCCAAAGTGTGGCAGGGAATCGGTAAGAAGCCGTAATGTTATTTCGGCCAGTAGAGGTATAGATACTCCGGCCCAGGAGATAAGATGAAGTTATTCGGCCCGAGGGAGGTTGTGTTACTCCGGTTCAAGAATGTGTAAAGCAAACTCCGGTCGAAGGTGGCAGTTTGAAGTGAGTCCGGCCTTGCATTTAGTCGTAGTCTGACAGTTACTGTCTAGGTCGGTCAGAACTTGCTACTTGGAAGTTTGTATCTAAACCACACATTGGTTGAACAGGGGAAAGCCGAGATAAGGGAGCTTGGAGGAGAAGGAACCGAGCTACAGGCCAGTTCGGCCTCTCTGTGGCTCTGCATAGCCAGCCATTATTTCGGGTTATTTTATAGCTTCGGCCAGGGTTAAAAACCAATCCCACATTGGTTTTAAGGCAGTGGGGGAGGGTGAAAAGATAAGCATTCATCCTTAGGAGTATAGAATCCTAGTTGAGTACTCCGCATGGAAGAAATAAAAGTCCTTACTTAAGGATTGTGCCACTCGAAACCTATAAACAGCTCACAAGCACACACTTGAGGAGGTAATTTGAACACAATTTTTCTGGAGAACATAGAGCTTTGTCTTATTTGTTCAGTTTTCTACTTAGCATCGGGAGAGGTTTCCGGCACACAACCCGCCGGTCTAGCTCACGTTTGGTTTTACAGTAATAAAAGCGACGTCGTACGGAAGGAGCGTGGACTTGGTCAACAGGATTATACGAAGGAGAATTATTTCCTCCGCCGGTACAATGGCGCCGTCTGTGGGAACATACAGACAAAGAACAAAACCTCCTTGACTTCAGCTTTTCTTTTCTTCAATCAAATGCACACATGAAGAACTACCGCAGTCCGCCGTTGATGGGCTAAACTCCAAGACGGATGGGACGAAGGCGAGAAGATTACCCTCTGTCCCCCTATGGCAGATTCGGAGCCCTACACATAACTCCAGAGGAAGTGGCAGGGAAGGCGGATAACGGCCTTCATAAACTCTCAAAGGTCCTTGACAGGCAAAGGAGGAGGATTGATCCTCAAGGCCCGGAAGATCGCTCGTGGAAGGAGCAAGCAGGGAACTTAATTCGAAGAATAGGCGCGGGACATGGAGGCTTTGAACGCCAGAATTGAAGACTAAGAGTGGCGACAGGAGAGGGGCGCAAGCACAAGACAGCTCCTCGGCCACTCAGAGAATCGTAGTAGGGGAATGCGACACCCTCCCAAGGAAGAGCAAGAAGCGCATAGGACAGGCGGACACTCATTCCTATCTCAGGACTCGTCACTCCAGGTCTTGAGAGGACGAGATCCGAAAGACATACACTGAAGGAAGCCACGTATTGGCCTTCACATTCACAAGCCAAACCAGCATCTTAGACAAACAGATGGCCCAGGGTCATCCGACTTACGAAACCGGTGCTCGAAAAAAGCACGATACAAGGAGATCCACGGCAAGGGACCCAGACTGAGCTCGGCCTTACAACGGTTGGCTCCTCGGCGCATTGAAGTCGAGGTTTGGAATGCCAATACCACGACCGGCCTCGAACAACGGACAAAGGCATTGGCAAGACTACAGACTTTTCGCCGTTTGTTCCAGCAATCGAAAACGCGCCCTACCATTCAGGCTCCTTCAAGCCGAAATTCAAATACATATGAAGGGGAAGACGGGACCCGTATTCACACCTGAGCCACTTTCGCCAAAAGTCATGGCTTGTGTAAAGGCGAAACGATGCCTTAATGTGCATACTTCCGTCAGTCTTGGCACCTAGGCTTGAACTTTGTTCGAAAAGCTCCCAGAGGGCAGCATAGCTCCTGGCCCCCATTGCAGAGGCGTTCGTAACGGAGGTTTTCGAACAGAATACTAAAACACCGGGTTGGAGAATAGACCAGTTACTCTCCATCAACATGGGTGAAAAAGAGGACCCTCAGATCTACCAACCAGTCGCTACTGGGGAGACATGTCAACCAGATTGGAGGATCTCACCCACCAATCTAGCATTGCGCAATATAAAAAGAGGGCCTACCAGTAGGGAAACAGGACTAAGGGATCTCGATTACCATGACTCCACCCCTCACCATGGAGGCCCGAGGAAAGAGTGCATCAGCCATCGGTAGAAGGGATGGCCACGTGCAAAAGCAAATTCTAGTGCAACCGCTTTAGTACCAGAAAAGAAGTCTCAGCAAAGGTCAATACAGTAGATTTGGCAGGAATAGAACGGGCGTGGCAGAGCGAGGATAACGGAGAAGACCCAGACAAAAAAAGATGGTTATAATCCGCCTTGCATAACAACGGTGTTCAAAAAGCCAATATATCGGATTCTGAGCTGTTAATAAAAGATGGAGCCTTGTCGTCAAGTGGCAGCCAAGTAGGGAAGCTCAGAAAGAATACGACGACAGACACGTTGCACCTTCCCAAAGAGGAAAAGGGCACCGAACTGAGAATTGCACACCGTTAAGAAAAACTTGGAAGAGTTCTTGGTGACGGCAGCAGCACTTTTGGACAAATATTATTGAAGGAGGAAACGCACCTGCCCTCCAAGATCATAATAACCATCCCAATGTGGAATGACCGATCGACACCCCACCACAAGGCATCATCAATGTAATACATGGAGCTGTTGAACCTGAGCGTGTATGCGAGCTCAGAGGATCAATCAAGAAGGCTGAGCATTTTAGGAAGTATTTAAGTGGCCCCAACCTGCCATCAAGAAGGGGAAGACAGATCGCCGGAACAAACGTCATGTCTTTTTCAAAGGATAAGGACCTGGATCGAATATACGTGTCCTCACAAATTGACTGCTCTGGGTT